TGTCCCACCTCTGGACATGTCCAAACCACTGTCCATCCTCTGGACATGTCTAAACCACTCTCTCCTCTGGACATGTTCAAACCACTGTCCATCCTCTGGACCTGTCTAAACCACTGTCTCTCCTCTGAACATTTCCAAAACACTGTCCCTCCTCTGAACATGTCCAAACCACTGTCTTTCCTCTGGACATGTCCAAACCACTGTCCCTCCTCTGAACACATCCAAACCACAGTCCCTCCTCTGGATATGCCTAAACCACTATTGATCTGCTATACATGTCCAAACCACTGTCCATCCTCTGGACATGTCTAAACCACTGTCTCTCCTCTGGACATGTCCAAACCACTGTCCCTTCTCTGGGCATGTCCAAACCACATGTCCAAGCCACTGTCCCTCCTCTGGACATGTCCAAGCCACTGTCCCTCCTTTGGACATGTCCAAGCCACTGTCCCTCCTTTGGACATGTCCAAACCACTGTCCCTCCTCTGGACATGTCCAAACCATCTCAGTCTGGCCTCTCTAACTTTATCTCCCAGTTGTTCAACCTGTGCTGTACCTCTGATGATCTCATTCCTAATCTTATCCATCCTTGTCACTCCTAAGGAGAACCTCAACATCTTCAGTTCTGCCACTTCCAGTTCTGTCTCCTGTCTTTTTGTCCATGTCTCTGTCCATACAATATAGCTGGTCTCACCACTGTCTTGTAAACGAGTCAATGAGACGATCTGTACAAACAAAGGTTGAATGAAATTAAATAAGGAAACTGGAGGTTGTTCGTCCGTCCTCTCAGCAGCATCAGAGGGTTTTGGAAAGTGGATGTTTAGGATGGAGGTGTGGACACAACAACGAGTGTTGGTGGAGGGAGGAGGATGAGGAGGGACAGAGGCAGATGTGGATGAAGAGCGGAGCAGTCATCAGTGTTTGTTGGTCGACTGAACGGTTCCACGGAGAGCGTTCGCCTCGTCTCATGGTGAGCAGAGCTTTATCAATCATCATCACCTCTCGTGTGAGTTTTTAAATGTGTCGATGCCTTTGTCTTTCTATTCCTTTATGAGAGACTTTTAGGGGAACAAATATTTGCAGATGATGCTTTTATTACAACGAGGATAAGAGTAGCTGTCCAGCTCTTCTCAGTGTCTGTTTTCTCTTATTTTCAGAGCTTAAGTTTGTCATCCATCATTAAAAATCTTATGTTGCATAAAAAAGAAAAGATAAATTGAAATAACTTTCCTGTGGTTGCACATTATCTTTAGATTTGTGATTAGTTTTATGGTTTCATTGTGACTGTTTGAAATGTTTCTTATATTTTTCTATGCAGATTTGAGAAGAAAATGACAAAATTTGTTGTAAAGTTTAAACTGAGACACTACAGATCTCATGTTTGTGTTCAAGTTCAGTAAATGTACATATTTATAACACAAACAGGACGAATCAGGGCATTAGAAAGAGAAAAGAAACAAAGCTCTGTTGTTTCTACATTTCTAATCAGCCCTGAAATATTTTAATGTGTTTTTATTAGAATCAAATCATTTCTGACTTCGTGCACTTGAATCAGTTCAGAGCTGCGCAGAAACACACCCTGTTTATATCTAGAACTCATGATCCAGCTCCAGATCTGAGTGGACTGGAAACACCATGTCCCGGCTCCATCTGGTCCTCCTGGGTTCTTGGTTTGGATTTGATCTGGCAACGTCATCAGTTTTCATTTTGGGAAGTGGTCATCGGGACACGTCAATGCACAGGATCTGAGATTAAGTGCAAACAGAAAATTATTCTCAAAATGAGAGATCAAGAGATAAAGATGAAACAGAAAAAGCAACAAACTGAATGAAGATTCAGATTTTACAACACGCAACAGTGTTCTTACACACGTTTGTGCATTTTCTGTAGGCTAACACTAATTGTGAATAAAACACCAAATATGTCTTTTAGTGATGCCAATTTTCTATTTGTCTATAAATATTATTTATTAAATTGCTTATTAAAACAATCTAATATGTTAGAAAATGTTTTATAGGTGAGCTCTGATTATATTACACATCATTCAGCTCCAGTTGACTGAGATCTGCTGGTCTTGTGTTTCCAAACTGAAAATTAAAAACTTATCTGATTTAATGTTGGTTTGAGACCAGTAACAGCAGCTGACAATGTAAGCTCTTCATGGTGGTGCAGGTCTCTGTAGCATCTGCAACACTTTACAATGAGGTACACAAAATGTGATTAACTACTAGGGAACGCCTCAGGAACAAATCAGGAACAAATCAGGAGCTAATAGGTAGTTAACCAGTACTTACTGGGGAACACATAGCCAAGCCTTATTAGGGGACTACTGGTTAGTTACCTGGGAAACAAAGATGAGCTAATCAGGAACTAATGGGTAGTTACCAAGGAAATCAAAGAGAAATAAACCAGGAGTTAACCAGTAGTTAACCAGTACTTACTGGGGAACACACAGCCAAGCCTTATTAGGCGACTACTGGTTTGTTGCCTTGTAAATGAAGAGGAACTAATCAAGAAC